GGTCCCCCGCGGGGAGGCCGGGGGCGGAGGTGGCGGCCCGCGAACCCCGGCCCGGCATGCGGCGCCCGTACCGCGTTGGAGAAGGAAACGCCGGCGTCGGTGCGCTGCACCCGGAGGAGCATCTGGTTGCCGTCGTCCAGGAAGTTGTTGATTTCAGGGCAGCTGTACGTCAGCGGCTGGTCCCAGGGCTCCGACACCAGTCCGAAGTAATTCTGGGTCGTGGTGAAGAGGAAGACCTTCCGCACGTCGCCGCTGCCGCCCGCCATGGCGGCGGCCAGGACGGAGGAAGACAGCGGTCCGCCGCCGCCGCCGACGCCGGAGCCCACCTCCGCCCACACGCGCAGCCCGCCGGCCGGCCCGCAAGCCTTCGCGGTTGCCAGGGCCGGTCGCTATGGCGACGGAGGCCGACGTCGGCGCGGCCGCGCGCACGCCGTGGACGTTAGCGCTCGGGCACGCGCACGCACAGTCCTCGGAGGCCGGCGAACGCGGTGAAGCCGGGGAGCTGCTCCCGGTGCCGCGGTCGGTCCTAAGGGATTCGGGCAGGTGTGTGTCAGGTCGCAAAGCCTGCCGTTTATTCTTTCTGCGGATTTCCCGTAGCGGCTTGTTGGAAGCGATACAGGCAGTGGAGCCGCGTGCCCCGGAGTCCGGAGGGCTGGGCCCTGGGGCTCCCGCTGCACCTGCAGCCGGCGGCGCCGGGCTCCCCATCTGCGAAATGGGCCGGTGCCGGCCAGGTTGCCGCGCGGACTTCAAGAGATGGCTCTTTGCAGAGGCTGCTAAAGAGCAGGAGTTGAGCACACTGTTAATTCTCTGGCTCCGTCTTCCCCCGCTCCTTTCTGTGGGGCTTCATTTCCCGCCAATCCCTTTCCCTTGTTCAGAAAAAAATGCAACCACTCGTTTTTCATCACGACCATTACCCGAACACGCAGCCACATTTGTGAAATAACCAAAACGTACAGTGATACCTGTTAACTTGTTTTATAACAAGCACAACCCAATACCCAATAACAAAGAAATACAGGAGTAAAATCGGGCTCTTTCATTTTCTTCGCCGTGGCATCACCGTAAACTACTGAACTGCTGGTCATTCACTCTGATATTATGAATTCAAAAATCATCTGAAATGTGCTGCATGCTGCTGTGTGCCCAGTAATGGACCAGGCCCTGGAGACATAGGCCCTGCCCTTAAAGGATTTTGTAGTCTAGTCAGGCGTCATCTTGCCTCTGGTTTGAGCCTTCATACTAAGGAACTCAAACATAGATTTTTTTTTTAAATAAGATTTTATTTATTTATTTGACAGAGAGATATCACAAGTAGACAGAGAGGCAGACAGAGAGAGAGGGAGAAGCAGGCTCTCCACTGAGCAGGGAGCCGGACGTGGGGCTCTATCCCAGGATCCTGGGATCATGACCTGAGCCGAAGGCAGGCGCTTAACCAACTGAGCCACCCAGGCGCCCCTAGATTTTTTTTTAATTTGTATTCAGTAACCACAACTTCCTCGTAAAACTATATTCTTTTATCAGTGGAAAGAGGGTCTTTTTATCTGCTGAGCATCTTGAGTAAGATTTGGGGGTGAGAACTAAAGAAAGCGGAACCGCTGTGAATTGTAAAGGGAAATGAATTTAAATTCTCATGAAATAATCCACGAAGTGGGAGAGAGGAGTGCATGAATTGGGATGCTGGCCACTGGATGGGAAAAAATCCAAACAGGAACCCAAGATGACTGGATAGCCAAAATGGATTCTGAAAACAAAGATGGCTAAATATGGATACAGAGATTTTTGCTCTGCAGTGGGCATTATGACCCTTCACAAAGTCTTCAGGAAAGCCACCTATACTCACAAATGCTTGGTCTAGGTGAGTTGTTTTGGTGGAAATGTGTGAGATGGTTGTATTTAGCATCCACAACAATGTGATAAGCATGAAGGCAGCACAGGTAGGAACACGAGTCTGGGAGCAGATGAGATCGTGTGAATATTACCTTCCCAGGAATTTTTAGGAACCTTAGGTGGGCTTTGGACTTCCTCAAGATAGGACATTTGAGTGTTCGAATGTAGTTTAACCCAGACATTAAGAAACATAGAAACTCCAATTGACACATAAATTCAATGAGGGTAGGAATTTTGTATGTCACTGCTGGGTACCTAAAATTAGGCATAGAGTGGAAAGAAGACAGATGAGGTCTCTATTCACGAAGCTTCAGTAAATCAGAAGGAATCTCAGATATAACTAACTTATACAGAGCCACAGAGATAACTAGTTGTAGAACCAAGATTGATATCCAAACCCAACTGCAAACTGATCTCTAGGCACTGTATCACAGTGGTAGACAGCCAGACATCCACCAGTATCCCAGTGGCTACTCTCCAGGTGTGGCCATTAACTCATTCTCCCCAGTAGGATGTAAGCAGAAGTAATGGGTGCCACTTAGAAGACAGGGTTTGAAAGAAGTGAGTGTGCCTTCATCTTTTGCCAGCTGGATACAAAACAAGAAGAGATGACAACCATAAATGTCTAGGACACAGGGCTCCCGACTCAGTGTGGAGCAGGGCTAGCAGCTGTTAAATAAGCAAGAAATAACCTTTATTGTGTTTGGGCCATTTTACAGCATGTGTATGTGGGTCTGTTTTTTATAGTAAGTTAAGCCAGTCTAACCAATAGAGTAATTGTTACCAGCAGTAGGGTGGCTGTTTGTTTTGTTTTGTTTCTTAATTTAATGTAGGATGTTGGCTTAGTAGTTGGTTAGCAGGTGGCATGAAAACAGGAATTGTAAGCTGGAGAACAAGGGACAAAACCTTTCTGAGCCAAGCTTTCCTGATTTTGATCTATACCGGCATATCTCAAACATTTTGGTGTCAGGTCTTCTTTATGCTTTAAAACATTATTGAAGATTCCAAAAAGATTTTTTTGTGCATTATTTCTATCAATATTTACTGTAATAGTCATGAGATTTTTTTAAAACATATTTATTCATCTATTTAAAAATGATAAGTCCATGACTTACTAAGTGACATGTTTTTATAAAGATATTTAATAATTCCTAGGCTCCTAGGTGGCTCAGTCAGCTAAGCGTTGACTCTTGGTTTCTACTCAGGTCTTGATCTCGGGGTCATGAGATTGAGCCCCATGTCTGGCTCCAAAGCTCAGCACATAGTACTCTTGTCCCTCTCCTTTCCCCTCTGCCCCTCCCCCCTTGCACTCATTCCCTCTCAAAATAAATATTTTTTAAAAATAATTATAATTCCCAACACAAACATAAATTTGGTCAGAAGACTGACGTTTTACATTCTTCATCCTATCTCTTGCAATAAGTTGACCCACTGAAGTACCTGGAAAAACCTGGCCTCACATAGACGTGTAGTTAGAAAATGGGAAAGAACTTTAACAGCCTTTTCAAATCATTGTGAATATTACTCATTGTTACTAAAATTCCTTAAGTGGTAGTTTCTTTTTTTTTTTTTTTTTTTTATTCATGAGAGACAGAGAGAGAGAGAGAGAGAGACAGGCAG